TAATAAGATGAGAAAGAAAAAAGAAACACTTAGCTTTAGGAATTTCAGTAATGTCACAGGAAATTGAATTACAATGGATTTCGGGTGTAGCAGTTCCTTGCCTCCCCCCTCCCCCTTTTCTTTTTTTTTGGCTTTCAAATTAAATTAAAAGATAAACTGTATACCTTTTTAAAGTAGGTTTACTTTAAATTACTTTGAAAAGACACACACAAATAATACGTTTGTGTCATCCCCCCAGCTCCCTCCTTAGTTATTAAAGTAGTATGTATTCATTGTATAAGTTTGGAAACTATAGAAAAGCATAAAAAGAAAATAAAAATCACCTATGATTCTATTAACCCAGATATGACCACTCTGAACATTTTGGTAAAAGTGTCCGGAATTTTTCTAATTAAAGGAAATGAAGGAAAGTGAGGAGGGATGTGCTAAGGGTGACAGGTGGGAAAGAGTCAATACTGTACATGTAGTATGATCCCAGTTCTGTTTTCAGATACTACTTTGTGTAACCTATCCCTCCTTACTTTCCTTATCTTGGGTACCGCCCCACTCAGTCAGTTCTCTTTCAAAGTGTCCCCTCCCTTGGCCCTACCCCAAGCTTCCATCTTGGCTCACCCAGATTGTAGTGTCTCCTGACTGCTCCTCCTGTTCCCTGCACAGAGCCCTCTGAGTGATTCTGAAATGGAAAAGATTCGGTCATTTCCCTTCTGGAAACCTTTCCCACTGTACTTGGGATGAAGTTCTTGGCTGGGTAGGCAGGGCCCACCCTGCGGCCTCTGGTCACCGCTTTTCCTGCTGGTGCTCTGGCCGATCAGCTTTCTGGCCTTTTCCCAGACTCCCTGATACTGGCCCCTGCCTGGGTAGTGCCCACTCCTGCTGGGAGGCCTGCCTGGTGTCTTGTGGAGGACTGAGAAAGCCTTTCTGAGCCCCCAGCCTAAATCACATCCTTCTGTTTTGTTCTCTCTCATTATATTGTAACTTCCCTGCATAGATAGCCTTTATCAGTTTGTTACTAAGTATTTAGTTGTGTATCTTGTTTAATACTCATCTCTCATTTAGATTTCAAGCCCCAAGAGGCAGTGGCTTTGTTCTAAGTCACCATTTTCTAGGACCTAGAACTGTGCAAACTCTCAAAAATACCTGACGAATAAATGAAGGGGTAAACATTTTATTACAAACATTCTCATTTTTCACATCTGTATTGAATCCCATGTTCAAGTAGGTGTTCTATAATTTATTGACAATAACTGGTGTTAAAAGGTAAACTGGGCATATTGAAGATTTTAAGAATTTATTTGAGGCTGGCCAAATAGCTCAGTTGGTTGAGAGCTTGCTCAAGAGTGCGAGCTCTGAGCAATAGGGTTGCCAGTTCAATTCCCACATGGGCCAGTGAGCTGCGCCCGAGCTGAGCTGCTGCTGAGCTGCCAACAGGTGGCAGGATGGCTCAACTGGTGAGAGCTCGTGCTCCTAACAGCAAGACTGTTTGAGATAGTGGGCTATGCCCACCTGCAACTAAAGACTGAACTTGGCACCTTGAACTGAGCTGCTGCCCAGGTGGCTCAGGTGATAGAGTGCACACTCTTAACAACAAGGCAGTCAGTTCAACTCCCGAGTAGGATGGTGGCTACACCCAACTGCAACTAATTGAACACAGCATCTTGAGTTGAGTGGCGCGACTGGACTGTGGCTGCGCCTTTCACAACTAAGATTGAAGGACAACAACTTGGCTGTTCCCCTCCCCCAATTCCCCAATAAAAACATCTTTAAAAAAAAAGAAAAAAATTTATTTGAGCAAAAATTGATTAGAATTGGGCAGCACCAAACTAGAAGCGGTTTGGAGCCCTCCACTGACAGGAGCTGGGAAGAGACTTATAGAGAAGAGGGAGAAGCAAGGCAAGGAGATCATCTGATTGGCTATAGCTTAAGCCATTGCCTTATTTGGGAAAGCCAAGTTGGCTGTGATTAGTTGTCTGTAGGTTTTGATGTCTTAACCTTGAGGCATTTATAGGCAGGCTTAGGTTTGGGTTTGCTTACATAGGCTACTAAGGCATTAGAATCACCTCAGTTTAATGGCCTTCTCTTTCAATTTAGCACTGGTAATGAACATCTTTCTACATAAATCTTTATGGATATCACTGATTTCCTTAGAAAAATTTTAGAAATGGAATTACTAGACCAAGTGATAAGAACATTTTTACAGTTTTTATTTGTATCACCGTTTCTTTTTAAAAATTATTAAATTGCCCTGCCAAAAATGAATAGTATTACTACTACTACTTAAAAAAAAAAGCATTTGTCAATTTAATATTTTTTCCTGTGTTTTTTTTTGAAATTGTATAATTGACATACAACATCATATTGGTTTCAGCCGTATAATGTAACAATGCCATATTTGTGTATATTGTGAAATGGTGACCACAGTAAGTCTGTTAGCATCCATCATCTCATACAGTTACAAAATTTTTTTCCTTGTTATGAGAACTTTTAAGATCTACTCTCTCATCAACTTTCAAATATACAGTACAGCATTAACTCTAGTCACCATGCTGTACATTACATCCCAGGACTCATTTATTTTATAGCTGGAAGTTTGTACCTTCTGACCCCCTTCACCCATTTCGCCCCGTCCTCCACCCCCTGCCTCTGGCAACCACCAGTCTGTTCTCTGTACCTGTGGGCTTGGGGGTGTGTGTGTGTGTGTGTGTGTGTGTGTGTGTGTGTGTGTGTGTATCACATTTTCTTTATATATTCATCCATTGATGGACACTTAGGTTGCTTCCATATCTTGGGTATTGTAAATAATGCTGCAGTGAAAATGGGGGCACAGATATCTTTTCAAATTAGTGTTTCATTTTCTTCGGATAAATACCCAAGAGTGGAATTGCTGGGTCATAAGGTTGCTCTATTTTTATTTTTTTGAGGAATCTCCACACTTTTCCATAGTGGCTGCACCAATTTACATTTTCACCAGCAGGGAATGAGGTTTCCCTTTCTCTACATCCTTGACATTGAACATCTTTTCATACGTCTATTGGCCATCTGTACGTGCTCTTTGGAGAAATGTCTATTCAGGTCCTCTGCCCATTTTTTTAATTTGATTTTTTTCTTTGCTGTTGAGTTGTATGAGCTCTTTGTATATTTGGGATATTATCCCCATATTAGATGTATGATTTGCCAATATATTCCCCCATTCTGTAGGTTGCATTTTCATTTTGCTGATGGTTTGTTCTCTATTCTTTTTTTTTTTTAAAGGAGGAAAACCTTTTAAGAGGTTTTATTAGAATGAGGCAGATTTCCCTTATTATAGAGAGTAATAACAAATAAAAACCCAGAATAAAGGCAAAGACAAAGAGAAAAATTGAACATTTTTTTTTAAAAAAAGCACAAAAACCCTACATACTAAAATTGTACACATCAAGTATTGGTCCAATCTTACATCAGTCTATTTACAATTAAACAGCACCATGGTTTTCTTACCTAGGTTAGTTAAACATGCCCAGAAAATTGTTATTCAAAGTACATGTTCCTTTAAAATAAACTCTTAAGAAAGTTCAAACCCTCAACAAACAAAAAAGACTTTTTACCAACCATAGATTATTGATGATAAAGCCAAATTTACTTAAGAAAAATATATTTGAACACTTTTTTTTTCCAGTTGACAAACTTTGAGAGGTGTTGTTAGTCAGTGTGGCACACAAATTAACAAAAACTTTTAATGACAGAGCATTATAATGCCCTCACATACCTCCACCTCTGAATATAAAAATACTCCTCTTGAATTTAGGTTCAATTATCAGCAAACCTAAATTAAATGTAGCCACAACATTTAAAATACTTGCATTAAAAAGGGAAGTAGTTAAAGCTCTCAGAAACATGACATGTTACAATTATAAATTATATATAAATAGGCTATAGGAAGTTTAATACCTTTTTAAACATCACATTTAAACTAATTAGCAGTTTCATTTTACCATTGAAATTAATAATGGTGCTTCACATCCAAACAGGTGTGGAGGTTTATTTCCCAACTGCAAACTGCATAAGTGCCTTCTTCCTCTACTTTTCCATCTCATAGATTCTCAGGGGTACAGTGATCATGTGGTTACCCCCCTCTCATGGAACCAACCTTGAAAAGGCTCCAAATTAAATATCCTCAGCAACTTTATTCCAGTCATAGGTTATAGAATCAGGTTCTCTCACCGGATTTTTCAGTCCTCTATGATCAACTCTGCAGATGGCTCTTAATTTGCCTCTTTGCTGGGAAAGATGGAGGAAAATTGTCATCCACCATAACTAAGGTTAACTGTGAACTGGAAAGCACTAAAGTATGAAGCGACATTTCACCATTTGGTCTCACTGTTGATATTTAAGTGACATCAGTAAATCTTTCACGTTAGTAAAATATGAGCTGAAATTTTCTCTAAAAGACTGAAAATAGGTACAATTCTCCCAGGCATAGATAGAATGAGCTATCCTTACACCCTTCCTGCAAACGGGGGGAGAAGAGCTAATTATTATCCTACAGTGGAAATAGCTGTACTTGACTCCTTGCATTCCCTGGCCAAGTATCCATGCATTTGGGGGCACAGTTAGCTCTGAGAAGTTCCAAAAAGAGTAGGGAGAACAACTAAGGTACCATATAGTACTGCCCTTCTAAGCCTGGTCATGGAAACAGCTTTGTCATATAGACACTGCAAAATACCTATGCAGTAAGAGGACACGAGTCTTCAATTGAGTACCCGCTGAAGATCAGAGATCTGATTGCATCGACTAAATTATTGCCTAGTGTTCCAGAAGGGTGCCTGCCACCAGAGTGCTCGAAGGCACCAAAACTTAGTGTGAATGTAAATAAAGAGCTCAATATAGGGGGTGGGAAGCAATACTGAAACACAGTTTGCCAGTCTCTAATCCTTTATGACTAAATATTAATTGAGCAAAGAATTAAGACCAGAATAGAAGCAAAACTCAAATACTGCTCTTTCCAGTTTACATTGTAAAAGCTCAAGTTTTAGAACTGTTATTGATATCTGGAAATTATATTTGATTTGTTTTTATAAAAATTCTGTATTCACAAGGTGCTTGGTGCTGTCTTCATGGATGCAATATTCTATTTACAGTCCAAATCATTTAAATACAGCCATTACGTAGTTGCTGGATGTTTTTAAAATAAATGGTTATCTATTTCCTAACTGCCCCTCAAATTAGAAATTGTAATTACATGAGTCTCAAAGGCTAGCTCTTTGTGTTTTATTAATTAATTTTGTTGGTCTCCATCACAGATGGAATTTTTCACTGGTAATTCCTCAGAACTAAATCCATTCATACGGAATTCAGAGCAGTGAAAACAAATTTCACGCTGTAGAGTAGGAAACAAGAAAAAGGAGCGGGAGAGATGTGGGGACCAGCCAACAGGGCCAGCTCAGTTCTCCACTGGCGTTGGGTTTTGCAAAGGTTGGCTCATTATGACCTGCACCACGTAGTCCTTTGGGATCGTCAGCTCTTCCAACTTCATCTTGTCAGTGAGCGGCCTGCCAGAGAAGAACCACCGCTGGCTACTGGGCTCCACCCCTTCTGCTGCGTGGAGCCGCTTCTTCATGTGGTACACCGTGCCCGTGCTGCGGACCACGAGTTTGAGGTCCTTGCCCGTGGAACGGCACAAACGGAGCTGACACTCATACCCGGAAGTGGGAGGTAGCTCAGGGATCTCCAGAGTCTCTGTGTCGCTCTTCTCCTCTATCATGTTGATTGGCAGCGCCAAGCAGTAGACTGGAAGCTGGTATCTGTTTCCCAGTTCATCGTAGCACTCTGTAAGTGCGCCATGTGGTAATGTGATGTTTGCACCATCAATGATCGCTCGTGCCAGTTCATGATCATTGCTCTCAAAAGCAAGTGCTGCAGCCTTCAAGGCACCCCAGATCTCTTTACGGCCTTCAAAAGCTGGTGCAGTGTCCCAAAATTCGTCCCTCTTGCTGTGCAGTTGTCCATCTGTCATGGGATAATCGCTTTTCCATTTGGGCTTCTCCTTTTTCAAAGGCTGGTTATGACCTAAAGCAACTCCGGTGCCCTCCGAGTTCTCGTTGAGGCTGCCCGAGGAGTCGTGCTGGGCGCCCACACACCCGTCCATGGGGGCCCCCCGGCGCCCCGTCCGCCACCTCCGGGCGCTCATCCAGGCCCGCCGCAGCCTCAGCCTCTTCAGGCGCCGAGGAGCTCCGGACAGGCGCGCCCCTCCACTCGCCCGCCGTGGCCCAGCCTCCGCCCCCCTCCTCTATTCTTTTTTTTTTTTTTTAAGATTTTATTGGGGAGTTGGTGGAGGGGAACAGCGTTGGGGAATCGGGGAAGGGGAACAGACAAGTTGCTGTCCTTTTGTTCTTCAGTCTGGTTGTGGAGGATGTCGCTTCACTGGTCCATGTTGGTATTGTGATCATTGCACTCTTCCCAGCTAAGGCAGATCGGTTGCCAGCCCTTGGACTGCCGCTCATGGCGGCTCATGGCAGCTCACGCTGGCTGCCAGCCACTCATGCTGGCTGCTGGCCACTCATGGTAGCTTATGGCAGCCCACTGCAGCTTCACTGCAGCCTATGCCGTCGCCGGCGACTCATGGCAGCCCAGCTCCAGGTCAAGCTGTTGTTCATCTTAGTTGTAGAGGGTGCAGTGTCATTGGCCCTCATGTGGGATCCGAACCGGGGCCCCCCTGCTCAGAGCTAGTGCTCCCAAGCCAGTTCTTAACCAGCGCTCCACTCGGCCGGCCCTGTTCCAAGCACGTGATAATAAAAAGAAACGAAACTGGTAATCGTTCTTTCATTTAAGTAGCAGAAAGCTGTCATATTGTGAGGGGGCTCTTACTACATGTCTGAGATTGGCTCCATTTTCCTGTTAAAATGAGATGCAAGGTCTAGGACATTGAGACCAAACACATCTTATGAGGAAACATCTTTTCTCTGAGTGACTGACAGGTCTTAGGCTGACTCAAGAGTCTGTAGTCCTGGTGGATATGCCAGAAACTGGGCACTGGCAGACCAGTGGGCAGGGCCTGCACCCGGGGAGAAGGATGCGCCTTGAGAGCCAGGACGACACCCAGGTTGGCTGGCCGCAGCAGCATGCACCGCAGAGCTGCCTGGGTGGTGTTTCGAGATAACTGGCCACAGGTTTGTGGATGAGTTGGACACCGCTGCCCTGGGGAGCTGGGTGCCCGCCTCCACCTCCTGCCTTCATCCTGGCGTACAGCATTTCCTTCATGTGCCAAATATGAAAACTGTTGGGGTCATCACCAGTGTTGTTGGCTTACCACCACCTGTATGTCACGCCAAGCAGCTTTCTATCTGCAAGATTGTTTACGGTTTGCGGTCATGGCCCATTTGATGGGTCCTGCCATGCTCGTGGGTGATGATGGAAGGTCATTTTCTCCCCGTGGCATCGTGATTTAGCCCTTACCAAGTGCTGCACAGGTAAACGTTATAACGGTTCGTAGAGGGACCTGGGGCCTATTGCCCAGGGCACCACCCCCGAGACTGAATGCAGTCGGTGAGATGTGGGCCCTAGGGGTTCCTGACGTGGACTGGGTCCAGGGCGAGAGGTGCTGAGTCCTGAGTCTCATGCTCCCAAACAGCTATGTGGGCCCCTTCATACACTGCTTCTGTCATTGCCAATCCATTTACGGGTGTGGAGACTGGGAATAACCCAATAAGGAAATTCCATTTTTTAATGTCATTTAACAATCTCTTTTAGAACTGTTTTTAATAGGGTATTTATGAATTTCAGACTTAACAACAAAAAGAGGCCACACCCATTATAGTCACTACCAGCTTCTCCTTATTTTGTTAAAATCCACTTACACACCAGGCGGGGTGGTGCGTGCCTGGAGTCCTAGTTACTCCGGGGCTGAGGCAGGAGGATGGCTTGAGCCTAGTTCTGCGCGGCAGGGCGCTGTGCCGATCAAGTGTCCGCACTGAGTCCAACATCAGTATGGTGACTTCCCGGGAGCGGGGGCCACCAACCAGGTTGCCTGAGGAGGGGTGAACTGGCCCAGGTGGGAAATGGAGCAGGTCAAAGCTCCCGTGCTAGTAGGTAGTGGGGTTGCGTCTGTGAAAGCCACTGCACTCCAGCCTGGGTAGCACAGTGAGACCACGTCCCTTTTGAACCCCTCCCTGATTTAACAGAATCCTGTATCTCTCAGATAAATAACAAAAGTTTGCCCCTTTCCAGATTTATTTTTTTTAATCCAGTTACCAGTATTTCATGGTTCTCAAGTTTAAAGTGAACTGCATTCACCATGCAATTTTTTCTTTTTTTTTTTTTTTTTAAGATTTTATTGGGGAATCGGGGAAGGGGAACAGACAAGTTGCTGTCCTTTTTGTTCTTTAGTCTAGTTGTGGAGGACGTCGCTTCACTGGCCCATGTTGTTGGTATTATCATTGCGGTCTTCCTGGTTGAGGCAGATTGGTCGCTGGTCACTGGACGGCCACTTACAGTGGCTTACGGCAGCTCACGCTGGCTGCCGGCCACTCATGGTAGGTAGCTCATGGCAGCCCACTGCACTTCCACTGCAACCTACTCCGTCGCCGGCGACTCACAGCAGCCCAGCTCTAGGTCGAGCTGTTGTTCACCATCTTAGCTGTAGAGGACGCAGCATCACTGGCCCATGTGGGATCCGAACCAGCAGCCCTGTTGCTCAGAGCTCACACTTCCAAGCCAATTCTTAACCAACGAGCCACTCGGCTGGTCCCACCATGCAATTTTTGTATATTAGGTTTTACCCATCTTGGATTTCCTTATTTCCTTTTATTATTTTATAATTCATTATTTGGAAGGGAGATGTTTTTCATAATTATACTTTTCCAATTTGTAATTTTACATAATTAACTTCTTCAGTGCAACAATTTGAATCTTTATGTGTTCTTGATATCTTTCCTGCAGTTATGGAAAACTACAGGAACCTTCTCTGCCCTTTGTACCGCTTTCCCACCCCCTCACCATGACCCCCAGCATCTGGCATAGCCCTGGGTACATAGTGTTCAGCAGACACGTTGAGGTGTCAGATCAGACAGACTCTGTATTTAGGGTCTCACTGAGCTTGCTCAGAGTATGATTTGGGGTTTGAATAAAGGTGCCAGTAGCAGATCCCCATACCCATATGTGGAATGAAAAGGAAGGCTTGAGGCTGGCAAGATGTGGCCGGCATGGTAGTTCTGAGGTGTTGCCAAGGTCCCAGGCTCCTCCTTTTTCTGCTTTGCCATCCTCAGTAGAGGCTTTCACCTTCAGGTGCACTGGTGGTACCTGTGCCATCAGCATTCCATGCCAGAGGCAGGGGAGCAGCAAGAATGGGCTGCCCTCTTCCTTCAGGAGCGTCCCACACCTCGCTGGCCAGAACAAGTCACTTGGTCACAGGAGGGTAAAGCGGCCTTGGAAATGTGCACTTTCGTTGGGTGAATGGCTGCCCCTAACAAGACCAGGCTCCGTTAGAAAGGAAGAAAGGGAAGATGGATCTTGGTTAGGAGACTGGCTGTGTCACACGGGCTAACAGCTTACCTTCCTGAGCCTCCAGGTTCTTCATCTCCCATGCACTCAGAATAGCAACTCCTCCAGCCTCATGGGTAGTGCTGCAGACCAGAAAGAATGTAAGTGCCTGGCACATGGACAGCATGGTGGCTAAACCACAGTGCTGTGTGTCGTCTGTCTCAAAAACTTGTGAGTGGCTGGAGAGCTGGGTGTCAGTTGTTTCATGGTGAGACTGTCACCTCTCAGCAGTTGTGTAGCTGTTGGTCCCCTGTCCCTGGTAACCACATGGAAGAGATTCACTAACCCATGCGGTGTGTTCCTTGTGGTTTGACCTGTACTTGGCTGGTTATGACATTACAAGAATTGTTCATCATGTGGCAGGAATAAAGGCTGTTTTGTACAAAAGTAAATGATTAATGGTGACAAAAGTTCCCCAGCCAACAAGTAAATGTGCAATGTAAATTGAAAGCAGTCGCATTTGCTTTATAAAAGTTTTTATTCAGAGAGCCATTGTAAAGCTAGTGATATTTGGCATCTAGGAGGCCCAAGAACGTGGCTGAGCTGCCTCTGTGTTAGCCATCAGCCTCCAGAGGAGGCTTCGTGTATGTGTCCTGTCACTCCTTTTTCCTGCCTTGTGCCTAATGGCTTCATTCAGCTTTGTTTTTTGGGCATTTTCACTGTCTTTCTGGTGTTTTTGGCTAGAAATGTTAGCACACGAGGCCCCAACCTGTAGCTGGGGATCTATTGGATTGTCGGAAAAGTCATGATGTATTTTTTCTATGTTTTTCATTGCAAAAATGCGTCATGACTTTTCCAACAACCCAGTATTAGTAAATCTCCATATGCTTGTTTCCATTGTGCCATATTTGCATTGCTTACTTTTGGGCTGTTTCTGAGATCCCCAGGAGAGAGGTGATTGAGGCAGAGGAGACTCTGCCCACCCTTGTTTCAGGATTTCATTGATAGGATCAGANAGACTCTGCCCACCCTTGTTTCAGGATTTCATTGATAGGATCAGACTCTGCCCATGCTTGTTTCAGGATTTCACTGGTAGGTTCAGACTTCCCCCACCCTTGTTTCAGGACTTCACTGGTGGGTTCGGAGTCCACCCACTCTTGTTTCAGGATTTCACTGGTAGGTTCAGACCCCGCCCACCCTTGTTTCAGGATTTCATTGGTAGGTTCAGACTCCGACCACCCTTGTTTTAGGATTTCACTGGTAGGTTCAGAAGTCTTTCATGCAGCATGAAGGTGTATGCTCTCTGGCTCTCTGGCTCTCCCTTTCCGCTCTCTAACTCTGTCTCAAGAAAGGCTGGGAATAGTTCTCCAAAAAAGGTTGAGACCTCTATCTTAGACTTGCCTTTGACTATAGTCTCTACATTAGTCATTATAATAATGAGTACTTTCCTCAATGACTGCTATTTTTTTTTCTCCTAAGTAGCTTTCAAATCTATGTCTTTTCATTGTTAGCACCCTCTACACCTAGATTCATCTAAGTAGTCTCCCTGACCCAGTATTACCTCCCATGAACTTTTCCTAAAACATGACCATCAGTCACTCTCTTGGTAACCACTGCCCTCCTCCTATCATCTGCTCTTCACTTACTTATCACACTTCATTATTTCTTGCTTTACTAGTCCAGCCCGCCA